GGGTAATATAAAGCCATTTTAAAATATCAAGCAAGCCAAGAAAGAATATGACATGGGTCACCGGAAAAGAGAGATCCAACCATAGAAGACACTGAAAGGAACCTCACAATATTAGTAAGTCTAAAAGGCAAGTAGTCCAGAATGAAGATCAGAGAAATATGAGACTTCCTCAGAAAGATAAAAGTGGTAACAATACCTGATATGTCTGAACATCTCCAGGGACATTTGATGAAATGCTGAGTCAGTGATTACTACAGAGAAAACTAAAGCAGCAGGGAGGCGTGGAGACAATGAATTCCAGCCAGATCAGCCTATGGAAAAGCTAAGTTAACAAGTCACATTGAGAACTGCTTATCAGCTCTTTAGTCTCCTACATTTAAGTACACCCAGAAGATCAAGAATTGCCAGACATCTGAGGAGAGGCTCTATCACAAAAGGTTAAGCCCAAAACTCACAAAAATGGGAAGAAAGGCAACTTGGAGGAAACAGATGATAATGGATGAAAACTTGGGGTAAGGGAACCCACGACTAACATTTGTATATGTTAAACAATATACAGAAATATATATACAGGTATACCATACATACTAGATAGCTGGGATAGGAGGAGGAAGGCAAGTGCAGGACATTAGACAGGCTAGGAAAAGTTATATTTTACAAGAAAACTGAATAATCAACAGTGATGCAATCATAACTATTAAGATGAAGGGGGGACCAGGAGGAAGAAGGACCAGCTGAGTAGATCATGACAAAGTTAATCTTCATTTTCTACCCAGGAAGTTACTAAAGCCAAAAACAAAAGCAAGGAGTATTTTTATCTAACACATACAAAGCAAACCTAAAGGAAATCAACTTTGAATATTTACTGGAAGGACTAATGCTGAAGCTCCAAGATTTTGGCCACCTGATGCAAAGAGCCGACTCATTGGAAAAGACCCTGATGCTGGGAAAAATCGAAGATAAAAGGAAAAGAGTGCAGCAGATGATGAGATGGTTAGACAGCATCACTGACTCAATGGACCTTAATTTGAGCAAACTCTGGGAGACAGTGAAGGACAGGGAAGTCTAACATGCTACAGTCCATGCGGTCACAGAGTTGGACACGACTTAGCAACCGAACAGTAATGTAGAGCATATGAGTTAGAGACATTTCAAAGGACTTTCCAAACTCATTTCACTCTTACAAAATCTATGCGGTAGATACTATTCTCCCCAATTTTTTTTTCTCCCCACTTTTTAAAGTGAGCAAACTGAGGCACAGAGAGGTTAAGTAGCTGGTGAACAACAGAGGTTGGCTCAGACCTAAGCAGTCCACGCTCCTAACCACCTGGCTGCGTTGTAGGTCAAGTAGTAATACAGGCAGTTATTTAGAGACTAGGAGGTAAATATCACAATCATCATCTACAAGAAATGAAAGTGACTGCTTCCAGGGAAATAAAGAGGGCAGTAAGCTTTTGTTTGTTTTGATAAGCACGTAAACTATTTGGCTCTTTAAACTGGGCAGGTACAACATAAATAAAAATTAGATCTTATAATTTAGTATTTCACAGTTAAAGTATTTTATCTGATGCAACCATCCTACGAAGCTGGCAAAAATGAGCATTACTCCTCTTTGATAAGAAAACCAAACTCCTCATTAATAAATATTGAGGAACTACTATATATACAGGTACTATATTTAGAAGATAAATATCAATTTACCTCAAGGTATGAAGAGGTAAAAGAGGTACACAAAGTATTTTCATTCATTTCTTTTCATTTTGTTGCATTAAATTATATGATCCTGCATCTCCAACAGTTATGCTTAAGGTGAGAGACAATACAAATTTTAAATCATACAAAAGGCAGAGAAAGGTCTGCTCATTAGTTCTTTCAAAAAACACTCAGCTCTTGCCCTTGAAGGATTCACGGTCTTACGGGGAAAATGGGTAAACGTAATTTTAACTGAATGTGCACAGTGCCTCGAATAGAGGAACACTAAAAAGGGCTACGGAAAACATTTCTTGAAGAGAATGCTACAGAGGGAACATCTGAGCTGGGGTCTTGAAGGATGAATGCAAATTTGACCAATTTCACAGAAGAGGCTATATTAACAATCACAACACTGAAAACATCAGTGTGAAATACCTGCATCTTCCCTGTGCTGTAACAGTAAGTTCACATTAAAGGCTAACCTAAGACATTATGCGTTTTGTTTGTTAGCCACCCAGTCGTGTCCAACTCTTTGCAACCCCGTGGATTGTAGCCCACCAGGATCCTCTGTCCATGGAATTCTCTAGGCAAGAATACAGGAGTGGGGAGCCATTCACTTCTCCAGGGGATCTTCCCAACCCAGGATCAAACTCAGGACTCCTGCACTGCAGGCAGATTCTTTACCATCTGAGCCACCAGGGAAGCCCAACATAAGACATTAAGACCTTTTTAATGAGAATGATTTTTTTTTAAAAGATCATACATAATCTTAAGGCCTGATCCATGTTTCTAACCTTTATAGTCTCTGCCAGTAGCCAACACCAGTAGACACATGTGTTACCAACATTTTAAAATTTACAGTGTTGCAGTATTATTTCAAAAGATGACTAAAGAACAGCCAATCTTCATTTATCCTACCACCTAAAAGTTTTATTGCTAATGTGTTTTCTAAGTCATAACACTGACATTACAATGTACTCCTTTTCTCCCATGAGATCCATAGGTGAAGCCCAGAAGACACAAACGACAAAGAAACTAACATGGGAAGAAAAAAGTAAAAACAATTTTTTAAATCATTATCACTTGAAAATATTTTTCCAAACTACAGTGATAATCTGCAGTAAAATGTCAAGAAAATAATATACAAATTTACCAGATCTGACCTTTACAGCTATTTTAGGGGTCATTTTGATATTACAGAATTTAAAGGATGTTAACAAAAGCTCAAATATGTGGTTAATTCAAAACAGGTACAGTCAACTCAAGTTACTGTACACCAATATTTCATCATATTTCTCAGTATCTGTTTTACCCCTTTAATTTCAAACCTTTCTACATAATTTGCCCCTAATTAGTCCTCATCTCAGTTGCTATATGGAAAAATTGATTTTGTTCTAATATCTTAAACTGGGACTCTAGCTCTACAGTTAAAAAACGAGCTGTAAGTAGCAACATCTGACTTTAATCGTCTGGAACACCATGTTATAGAAGGCTCTATCACGCCCCACCACCAGGAGGAGAAAACAAAAAGGAAAAATTCATGCCAGGAGACCACAACAGTAATTAGTAAAAATCATGGCAGGTTTGAATTCAAAGTATGTGGTTTTCATTTATGTATCCACCCATCTTTTACTTCTCTAAATTTAGCATCCACATAATATACCTGTTCTTATAGGGGGTTTTACTCAGATCACACTCATTAGATTTAGAAAACATGAATATCTGAGCTAAGTTAATTATTTAAAATTATAGATGTGTATTAGCATGATTTGATAAAGTTAAAGGTTTAGCAATAATTATAACACAACTATTAAGGAAACCACCTCCTAGGAGAGGTCTCTCTTTTAAAAAGTAGAGACTTGTATACATGATACGGAATACATGTGGCTAGATAACAAGGTTCTCTATATGACTTAGAAAAATAAGAATCGTCAAAGGCAAGAATTTATTTCAATTAACCATGCCTTTACCTTATATCTTTTAAGTAATTTAAAAAAAAAAAAAAAAAAGAAAAGAAAGCCTCACTGAGACATTTCGCCTTTGTGTTTCTACAATGGCAATTCTTTTCAAGTTTTCCAAAGTGAAAACCACAGATGTACATTTAGAATGTAAATGTTCCAACTGGCTTAATAAAAGTTCAATCACAAAAATCTCCAATACTAAAATATTTAAGTATCTTTCACATTTATTCAAAGTTCCACAGTGAAAATGAATAGCCTCTGTCAAAACTCCTTGATCAAAACTAACTTTGATCAAGGTTAGTAAGACTGGCAAATCTGTGAAAAGAACATTCCTTTAAAATTCAACTTAACTTAAAGCTGTGTAGTATCATGAGAGATTTCACAACTCTTCCAGCTAGCCAGCTTCAAAGACACAATTTGATTCAATAAATGTGATCACCATATTATTACCAATCCTATTAAGAAAACAATGGTCTAGTAATGTATTTTAGGCTTTCTGTATTTCTCTGGTCAGAGAAGAGAACAAGTGGAGTAGATTAGCAGAACAAAGTCAGTTTCATGGCTCTATAAATTCAACCCTCCAAGACATTCTCTTTCTTTACTCTTTAAAACAGCTACCATCTTGATCTACTATGCAAAAGGAAAAACAGTAGCATCCTACTGTCAAAGATAAATTGGGCTGTTTTTAAGAGTGTATGCCCCTCTTCCCCCACAAAACACTTTTTACCATTCCCATTTCTTTCCTGTTCAGATAAAACGACCATTAAGTAAGTACACAAAAGTCGGTCAATTAGTTTGAGAGCAACCTGTATAACCCAGCTTAGGTCACCTTTCCTATAATATCTGACTAGGAAAAGCAGTAACATGATCTTTTTCAAACTAATAGCAAACACAGTAGAACTTTGGGTCATCCAGTCCAGTGAAGGAGAAACAAATGTGGGAACCACAACCTCCCCTCCTGCCCTCAAGAGATGATCATAACGATTTTATAAGTCAAAAGAGATGAACTATTAAGCTGGGTTAGCAAAAATCAAGCTTCTGTTCATAATTAATTCTAAAAAACCATCTCGTAAATAACAAAACCGCTTGGGGCTCCCATACCTACTCTTAATGTTCAAAAACTATTCTGCCAAGTATTGTTTACATTTTACTTAGACCACTTCCTAAGCATTTTGAAACCATCCCATCACACTCCTGCTCTAGAAAAACTTACCAGAAAAATGCTCATTCACCTCTAAAGAGGAAAAAAGTAGATAATGTTTTTAGACTAACCCTGTGCACATGCAGTGACTAAACAGAGGAACTCTGAATCTGTTGAATGCCTGCAGAGACATGGCATGAGCTTACCTCTCATCCTCGCCATCCACCAAGGGTGTCGTCAGCGGTAGCACCTTCAACGGGAAAAGAGAAGCAGAGGCTGCAAGGCTGCTGCTACTGCCATCTGAAACTGCTGACACTCCCCCACTGTCACCACTGATGGTCTGAGGTAAGCCAACTAAGGAGGGTTCCGCTGGGCGCCTGGCATCTTCGATTTGGCTTCCAATTGCCTGAGCTAATGATTGTGCGGAGAATTGAACAGAACTGAGTGGTAGCTGTTGTGCCAAAGGCAAATTTATATTGGATGCTAGCAAGGGAGGCTGACTGACACTTTGAACCAAATTACCATTCTGAGTGGCGGGGGCTTGTGCTATATTCTGTGACGGAACCAAGTTTGTCGGGGCAGAAGGCAGTCCAGAAGGACCAGCTGAACTAACCTGATTCGTAACAGAAATACTACTAGCAGAGGGCAAAGGACTAACTGCAGGCAACTGCTTCGAAACCACTCCTGGAGCTACCGACTCGACCCCCTGTGGCTGGGGAGGCACAGGTAACAGGGTGCTCTGGGGTGCAATGACCAGTTGTTGAGGAAGGCTTGAAGCGCTGGGCTGGACTCCCTGATGAAGGATCGCAGCTGGAGCAGGTGGCACTATCTGTGAAGACGGAGGAGCACCTTGCTGGATAACTGAAGGTGTGACTTGGGCGGAAGGCTGCTGCAGTGCCGATGGTAGGCCTGTCTGTTGACCAATATTCGCGACTTGACTGCCGGCAGGTACAGCAGCTACTGCCGTGTGAGCCTGGCCAACAGGTTGGCCAGCGGCCCCTGCAGGTTGTGCTTGGACTGCCGCGGGCTGCACTGGGAGCTGGATGCTCTGTGGCTGAGCCATAGGAATCACCGTGGCTCCCAGGGCCACCCCTGCAGAAGTGGGCTGTCCAGAGGACACCGCTGTTTGGAGAAGCGGTGAGGGCTGAACATACTCGGAGGCGGGGTTCGGAGTCACTGATGTACCGTGGCTTGGGGCCATCGGAGGGGCCACAGCTGGCGCCGGCTGGCCATATTGTACCTGTTGGGGTGGCGCGCCTGGCAGGGGAGCTTGCACTGGGGGGGCCGCCTGGGAATACGGCAGTTGGGGTTGAGCCAGGCTGGCGATGGAAGGTTGCTGACCTAAAGCCGAAGTGACGCCCACCACACCAACAGGTGACGGCTGGATACCGGCTTGCAGAGGTACTGGTTGAAGACCTGGCTTCGGCTGATAGCCCAGTTCTTGAGACGGTAACTGTACCTGCGAGATCTGTGACTGAGAAATACTCTGAGGGATGCTAACTGCTGAAATGCCCTGTGGAGCGGCGCCACTGAAGTCCATCTGCGGAAGGGCCACCCCTGGAAGGGTCGGGGGCGGCTGTGGCTGCACCGGCGGGGCCGCCAGGGTGCCCATCTCTCCGCTGCCCACACTCTCCGTGTAGTGACTCAGTGTGCTGACGCTGCTGCTCACGGAGCTCCCACTCGTGCTCTCCCTCTCGGAAGTGGCTTCGGTCGGGTTTTGTCTTACACTTTCCACCACCTTATTTACCACCACCCCTTCGGTGGCGGGTATGGCGGCGTTTTCTTTTTCATAGAACTCAGTGCAAGTCCATCGACCTTTTTTGAAAGGCTCAGAAGTAGAATCTAACTTCACGACTCTGAACCTGGACGTGTTAACGGCTGGCTGTTGCTGCTGACTCGAAACGGACCCCACAGTCATGCCCGCAGCTGCACTGGCAGCGCTGTTAAGGGCCGCGGAGGAAGCAATCGTACCATTGCCCATGCCACTCAAGATATTCACATTAACCCCGCTGCTCACTGCAGGCCCGACACTCACACTAGCAGCACTGGGGATACTGCTCACACTTATATTAGCGTTACCAAGCATGCTGCTGGTCACAGCAGGATTAAAACTACCCACAGCAGTGATGTTAACGTTTTTCATTGTATTCGTGCCTGTAACAGAATTTATACCTAGGCTGCCGGTAGTACTCGGAGCACGGATACTAGTCATGACAGATGCCGGTGAGCCACTCGATGATACAGCAGAAGTTGGTGCAACTGGCATAACACCGTCAGAGCTTCCCGCGGCCGAGAGTTTTCTGGACCCTGGGCTTGAGGGCGGCACTCCAGGGATGGATGTACTGGCCACACCGGCATGGGATGGGTGGTGGGGCCCGTGGTGCAGGTGGTGGCCATGAATGGGATGGTGGTGATGGAGGGGGTGTGGATGAGCATTCCCATTGATCACAACGTTCTGTTGTGGAAGGTGAGGCAAATGAGGCTGAGGAAGGTGGGGCTGGTTGGGAGAGACCGCCCCAGGTGTCTCGGCTTCCTGGAAGTTATTGAGAGTCTCTTCCGAGGAGCTGCGTTCAGGCTCCCCTAAGTCCGTGGCCCTGGAAAGCGACACATCAAGGATCTCGGAAGACGACAGATCTTCCGTGTGAGACTCATCCAGGTCGTCGTAGCTCTCCGTGTCCTCTGCGATGCTGTTGTTCGAGCTGATGCTAGCGGAGATCTGAGCCGGGGTCACACTCGTTATCTGGAAGCCACTTTTCTTTTTCATCTGCGTTCCGCCTGGCGCAAGAGGCTGTGCCTGCAGCTGAGCCTGCGAAAGGAGGTTCAGGCTTTGTGGAGGCGGAGGCTGTGGTCCCGACAGAGAAGATGCTGCAGGAGGCGGCGGCTGGAGCAGCGACGGAGGCGGAAAATCCTCGGCAGATGGGGCACTACTACCGACGCCGGTACCTGCTGCACCGAGAGCGGAGGCGCTGCCCCCGCCGCTGCCCCTTCGAGGGAACATTGCCGGGTGCGCCATCTTCCTAGCACTCATGTCTGCAGCGGCCGCGGCCGCCGTGGACTCGGGCGGCTGGTGCATTGTGTTGGGTACCGGGGCGGGGGGCGGAGAAGGCGAGTGCAATTTCCTTCTGCACCGTAATCTTTGTATTCAAGACGCCGAGGAGGAAAACGGGAGCTGACGCTCCGCCCGGCGCGATTCCCCCACCTCCTCCTCCTCAGCCGCAGGCGCCGGCCGTTCCTGCCTTCGAGGGCGAGCTTCGGGAAGGGAGGATGGACGAGGGTGAACGGGGCGACCTTCTCCGGACAACTCCGGAGCCACCTCCGCCCCTCCTCCCGCCGGCGGCGGCAGCGGCCGCTGCAAAAAGCCTCCCGGTCGCCCTGCACGAAGGCGGCGCCGAGCGAGTGTCGCCTTCCCCTCGCCGCCCCCCAGCGCCGCCGCGACTGCCGGCGGCGAGCCCCGAGCTCAGTCAGTGTCGCTCAAACCTCCGCTCCCGGCCCCGCCGGCCCGGTTCGGGCCTCCTCCCCCCACGGACCCGCGGACCCTTTCAAACCCCCTGGGCTCGCGGCGGCTGCTGCTGCTCCGTGAGGAAACACTGGCCGCGGCTGGGGCCGGCGCGGCGAGGCTCGGGCGGCGGGGCGCCCGGTACGGTGAGCCCAGCAACGGGACGCGGGCGGGCGCGCAGAGACGCCGGGTCCTCGCGGAGCACGGCCGGGGCGCGGCGACGGCGGTGGCAGCGGGAGCCCAGGGACCGCTCCATCACTGGCAGCCATGGAGCCCGAGCATTTTCCTCCCTCCGGGCAGGCGCCTCAGCTCGGCACACGTCCTCGGGGAGGAAGGGGCCGGCGCCCGAGCCTCCCCGGAGGGCGGCGGGACGTGCGCTGAGGAGCGCCGGCGGTGGTGCGAGCCGCTTCGTCCTCGTCCTCCGCAGCCGGTTGGTCCTCTCACCCCCGCTGCTCCCGCGGCCCGGGCGGGAGGGGGCCGCAGGCGGCGGCGACTCCTCTCTCGGCGGCGTTGGTGGCCAGACGGGGCTGGTGCAGCGACTGCAGCCGACGCCGTTCAAAGGAACGAGAGGTGGGGTTTGGTCGGTGTCGGCGAACTGGGCGGGTGAGTGGGTGGGTGCCGAGGGAGGGCGGCGGGCGAGGAGGGGGCTGTGGTGGTTGTTACTAGTGCTCTTCTCCGGCTCCGCCGTATCCCCCGGTCTCTCGCGGCATCGGGAGAGGAGGGACCAGCGCCCGAGCGCAGGAGGAGGAGGAGGGGCGACCGCGGGCGAGAGGAGGCGGAGGCGGCGGCGGCAGCGGCGGCGGCAGGGGGGAGGGGGCCGGCTGAGGAGAAGGAGGGAAGATGGCGTCTGCGCATGCGCCCCGGCGCCGCAGACATAAAGCCAGGTCTGGCGGTAGAAGGAGGCGGCGGCGGCGGGTCTTCGGGCCTCGCCGAGCGCCCCGGCGGAAACTGCCGAAGGCTGACTGAGGCGCCGGCGGTGGGGGGGGGTTGGGGAATTTACCTGCGGAATGGGTAATGAGGCTTTTCTCCGCAGCAGCAGCATCACGAGTTTCAGTTCCCAGGAGTCCGCCGTCGCCACGACATGAGTCAGGCGTTCCTCCTCGGCGCGCGGCGGGGCCCTCCTCCCCTCCTCGCCGCACCTGGGCTCGCCCCCCGGCCCGCGCCGCCCTCGCCGGCTACTCGGGTACCCCCGAGCCGCGGGGTCCGCGGAAGGCCGGTGGCTCCTCGCGAGCGGCGCCCCCTTTTGTGCGGCGCGGTGGCAGCTGCCATGCGGTCCCCTCGACCCCTTCGACGGACAGGGGCGAGCGAGCCGGCAGATGTTGCTGCTGTTTGCAGTCAACGGCCGGAGGGAGCTCATCTCCAGAAAGGGAGCGCTTGCAATCCGTCGTTACCTGGAGGGAAGCAGCCCGGTCCAGTTTAAAAAAAAAAAAAAAAAACTGACCTCTACAGGTGGAGCTAATCGCCCACAGGGATAGCTTTCCCTGTAATTGTCAAGCGGTAGGCCGCATAGGTTTTGACTTGAAAGACAAAATGGCCTGGTCATGGTGGCAACGCGAGGACAATGATCAATGAAGACCACCTTTGGGGATTAGAAAAAGAACTATCTTCAGTTCCAGTTTGGAAAAAAGAAAGAAAAACACCTGCATAGTTCTACAGAAGCAGGGTTAGGTTTGGTTGGAGGCAAGTTAACTGGAAGTTGCTGCTCTTGCCATTCATTACACGTCAAAACATTCTAGCCCTAAGCATTTTTGACCACTAAACAAAAATGCACTTCTCACCTAGGAACCAAGAAAACAAAAATGCAGTATAGGAAACCTCAGAAATGTTTGTTTTTTTCAACTTAGTGTTGAGGGACTAAACGTTTATGGTCAGACCTCTGATTCACTAAATCTCACAGACCAGATCTACAGTCCTGTTTCAGGAGGTTGTTAAAAACATAAATGGCAGGGTTTGAAAGATGCATAAAAGTAGATTCAGCATGTTACCTTTTAGCTTTCTCTAAACTTTTCCCCTCTTTCTATCCCCTTTTAAAAGGTTAGGAACCTCACTATTCCAGTATAGAGAAGCACATGCTCAACATCCCTGTATAACCTGTATCAGTTTTGATATATTATTGTTTTTTCTATGCTCTCCTTCACCAAACTCAAAAAGGAGGACTAACATGTTTTTAACGTGGAATTCTGAGCTCAGTACAAAGTGCGTGCCTGCTCAGCGGCAGCAGACTCTGCGATCCCATGGACTGTAGCCTGTCAGGCTCCTCTGTCCATGGAATTTTCCAGGCAAGACTACTGGAGTGGGTTGCCATTTCCTTCTGCAGGGCTTCTTCCCCACCCAGGGATCAAACCCCAAGTCTCTTGCATTGGCAGGCAGATTCTTTACCACTGTGCCACCCAGAGGACCTAGGTACAAAGTAGGTGGTTGCAAATACTGAAAGGGAGATGGTAGTAAAAATCAAATTCATTTGAGAACATCAGACTTGTTTTATGATATTCATGAATTGATAGGTGAACAATTGGATTTTTTACATAACTGTGGCCATTTTTTTACGTAACTATGGCCATTGAAGGCCAGAGGAGAAGGGGATGACAGAGGATGAGATGGTTGGATGGCGTCACTGACTCAATGGACATGAGTTTGAGTAAACTCAGAGAGTTTGTAATGGACAGGGAGGCCTGGCGTGCTGCAGTTCATAAGGTCACAAAAGAGTCAGACACGACTGAGCAACTGAACTGGCTCATTGACTGATGGCCATTTACAAAAATAATTTGTTTTAAGGCTACAACAGCCTTTGCTCTAAGAGATACACACAATTAATGTCCGCCATTCATTGCTGAAATGCAAATGTGACATGCTTTTTAAATAGTTTTTGAACAGAAAATAGGAAGTAAGTATCCTAAAAAATTGAAAGTGCAGTGAAATGTAGTGGGGCTAAGTGTGTCTCTGAGCTACTATGTGAAAGAAAATACAGTCCCTCAAACGTTGGCTTTTAGGTCAAAGTTTTAAATTATCCCCAAACAACAACTTAACACGCCTGGGGCCACCTAAATACCCACCATGATTGTGCTGATAAGGTTTGAAGCAGAAGAAACACATATAATCAAGTCTTCCAAAGTTGGACAGAATGACTCATTGAGATACCCCAGTAAAAGCAGATATTTCTAATAACCAGTAATAATGAATATTGTTATTTTTGTGCTGTTTTGATGTTGGGGGTGGGTGGGTGGATTATTTCTTTTAAAAGAGACTTGTTTTCATTTTTCCAGGGTAACAGTAAGACCTAAGAAAATATGGTCTTTCGAAACATGTTTCACTTTTATCTGCTGTTTCACCTTCAAATTCCTGGTGAGGCAGCCTCAAGTCCCACTGAGATATGACGAGCAAGTCTGCAAATAGGGAAAACCTGAGTTTGAGAAATGTCTCTCTTTCTCCAGTTGCCAGCATTTCTATGATACATTAATATGAGTCCCTAAAATCAAACAGAAGCCCTAGAACCAACCTGGTGGTGTTATTATGTTCCCACGTTTCAATTCGAAAAGTCTGGTTTTTTTTACATTATTATCAAATGCCCCCTGCTGTGTGGAATGAAGTCATTAACTCCTTTGAATCCAGTACTTGGACTTATCCTTTGTCTTTTGAAAGCCTATATTTCACCTATTTACATTCTGAAGGTATAGTTCTGAATTACTCTCTATTGTCCATATTAATCCCAGGTGCAGTGTTCACCTAAATCTCATTATGGTGACATTGCAAACCAGCATGTAAATTTTACTGTGCCAGGAGTTTTTAGTGGGCTCCTCAAGTGGTGCTAGTGGTCAAGAACCTGCCTGCCAATGCAGGTGATTGGATTCGATACCTGGGTTGGGAAGATCCCCTGGAGGAGGGCATGGCAACCCACTCCAGTATTCCTGCCTGGAGAATCCCAGAATTTTTTCTACCATAAAATGGAAAATTTCCTGACCATTATAACTTAATTTACCTGTTTGTGAGAACTGTGAAATAGATGGGCATTTAAAACCAAGTAAGGGACTTCCTTGCACTGAAATTGCAGAGCCCTCACGCCCTAGAGCCTGTGCTCCTCAAGATGAGAAGCCTGCACACCGCAAGAAAGAGTAGCCCCCTGTCACAACTAGAGAAAGCCCGCACAAAGCAACGAAGACCCAGTGCAGCAAAAAATATTAAAATAAATTAAGTTAAAAAATAAAACCAAGCAGGGATTTCCCTGGCAGTCCAGTGGTTGAGACTTCACCTTCCAATGCAGGGGGTGCAGGTTCAATTCCTGGTCAGGGAACTAAGAGCCCACCTGCAGGGAAACTATATGCTGCATGCACAGCCAAAAAAAAAAAATTTTAATAAAACCAAGTAATTCTCCAAAAGTAGTGCCCTTGAGGAACAACAGGAAGAGAATACTTGCGCTCAGAATGGCTGTGAGTGCAAAGATAAATACGAAAGAGAAACAGGTGCAGAAAATACACCATTGAGAAACAGGTGCAATAAATACACCATTGATCCACTTCAGCAATTATTCTGGCTAACTAGGGCTTCAGTCTTGCTGTAGTTATGTGTAACTTTTAAATATCATCTTTAAAAAGTCATTTTTTTAATAATGAGTTATAAACATGAAAAAAGTCATACATTTTTACATATGAAATTTATGCACAGGGATATTACAGCATATTTATTAAATCAGTTTGCTCTCTAGAAAATTGTTAATATGAGACCAGGAGTCATGTGTGCTCTTTGACTTTTGTAAATTGCACAAAATATTTATTTTGAAACTTTTCATTCAC